GTGAGAGAGAGAGAGAAAGAGAGAGAGAGAGAGACGATAAGTCTCCGACCTCATGGCTCGTGCCATGCTACTTCCATCGATAGGATGAGCAACATCCAATGAATCTTTGGCTAGAACATGGAAATACACACTACGTGGTTGAATATGGCCGACCGCGTCACGCTACTTCCAGCGATAGGATGAGCAGAATTGAATGAATCTTCCCCTAGAATGCACTACCTGGTTGAACATGGCCGACACCTTCGACGGCGCGGCGCGAAAAAAAACCGTAGCGAAAAAAGAGCCCGTTCATAAATTCGCGCCAACACCAACCCCAAAAAATAAATCGCGCCGGGCCCATGAAGCCGCGCCAACACCAACCCCAAAAAAAAAACGGCCGTTAACAAAAAACAGCGCCGGGCCAACACCAACCCCAAAAAATAAAATCGCGCCGAGCCCACGAAGCCGCGCCAACGCCAACCCCCCAAAAAAAACAGCCGTTAACAAAAAACAGCGCCGGGCCCACGGTGCATCGGGCCCGCGCGGGAAAAAGTATCAGCGGGACGCGTCACGCGAGACCCGCGTTTTGCTTTAGAGTATTAGGGAAGGGAAGGTCTTTATTCAAGTTCATTGCCTTTTTAGGAAAACAGCTAGTCCTCTATAAAAGAGCATCACCAACACCAACCCCAAAAAAAAAACAGCCGTTAACAAAAAACAGCGCCGGGCCCACGGTGCATCGGGCCCGCGCGGGAAAAAGTCTCAGCGGGACGCGTCACGCGAGACCTGCGTTTTGCTTTAGAGTATTAGGGAAGGGAAGGTCTTTATTCAAGTTCATTGCCTTTTTAGGAAAACAGCTAGTCCTCTATAAAAGAGCATCACCTGTGTTCTTATACTCCTTGTACAATTTGTGGTTAAAAAAAGGAAGATCTTAAACCACCAGTAATTCCCAAAGTTGCGGCTCGTATACGGCCGCGACTTTGGGGATGAACTGGCCCGTTTCGCTAGTACAAATTCAGTCTGCTGTCTGCTGGAGAGGTCGTCGCTTTTTCATTTGGCTGGCTGTGTATATACGCGGTGTGACTTGGGGAAGTACTACACAGCAGTGGTTTAACTGATGAAAAAGTACTATTCTTGGGAAGTTGGGAATGCATGGAGTGCGCACATTTGCATATGTGCGAAGTACTGCCACACCGGAAAAGAAGAAAAAAGAAAAGGTAACTTGCCCCCCCAACTTACCCCTTAAGTATTGCCAGAATATTATCTCTAACCTTCACCAGCAACTCCGTGTTCTCTTGCAACTGCAAACGATGACGATCAAGGCAAAAGGCACCAAATGAGGAATTGTTTTTTTTTTTCTTTTTTTTTCTTTTTGAGGAATTGTTTTGCTTGTTTGTTTGTTAAACTTGTTTGTTGAATAAAAAAAATGAAATTGAAAAATGTAGAACTTCGAAGTTTAAAAAACGCGCTGTACGAGCACCCGCCTCCCGCAACCCCTCCCAAACTTCTGGCGATGTACAAGGAGGCTGTGCTTTCCATGTACTGGCCTGGCGGGGACCACCTTCGATTTACTCAGGTGCAAAAACTTTCGGTTCACCAATTTTTTTTTTGGGCAATTTAGGATCCCCCATAGTGGTGGTTTAAACAAAATGAATTGAAAGAGCCAAGTGACCATCAAAGATTTTCCTTTTTTTTCTTTCTTTTTTTCTTTTTCCATTTACGCAGTCCTTTGTAAAACGACCATGCGCCGGTTGTCAAGCTGATCAGAAAAGTTACCGTGAGAAGTAAAGGGAAAAAAWAATTAAAAAAAAAAAAAAAAACGAAGGAAAAAAAAAAATCCACTGAAATGGCAAGAAAAAAAAAAAGAAGGGATTCATTGAATTTCATTCAAAAGTTCATAAAAACAATACTTTTTCAGTGTCTTCAGTGTTTTCACACAGGTTTCCAGAAATTTTATTTGACGCAATTTTCACCATGTATTTTTTTTTTTTATTATCAGTTTTAAAATTTCTCTTTTATAATCAAGTTTTATGTCAACTTAAAATTTAAAAGCAAATAGTGCCAAATACACAGGAGGAACAAACAAACAAACCAAAAAAAAAAACGTGAATACAATTCGATACATAGGCAAAGTCGTTCGGATTCTTCGGAACCATCCATTGAACTTGGAATTTGGAACGATACAGAGAAGATCCGCATGGCCCCTGCCCAAGAAGGATGACACTTAAATCGCGAAGCGTCCCAAAATTTGTAGTGATGACAAGGGCCCGTGCAGCTTCCCCCGCATCAGACAGACAGCATGACGACACATGATCAAGAAGAGGGACAAAAAGGAAAATGGTCCGTTGGCCAGCACGACTACACCCACAGCAGCTGGCCAGCCAGCCAGAAGAGCCGCCAGGAAAGGGTTGGTCCGTTGGCAGCTCAGACGGCCAGCCCCCGAAAACATATACAGATCAAGTCCCGATAAACACGGAGAGTCGTGTGCAGACTGCACAGTATGATGATGAAAACAACTCCACAAGTAATCCATCAGTACAATGTTCCGGTCACTTAACCCTCTTCCCCTCCTCAATTGTCACCTCTGTGTGTCATCATCTCTTTCATCTACTACTGGCAAGCTTGCCAAACTCACTGTCACTCTCCAACTCGATCCGTTTCTATCCAAAGGCTAGAACGATCGATATCAGGACCAGATACAGCAATACCAACATTCCCGAACGATCAATATCAGGACCGGATACAGAAAGACCAGCATTCCTGAGCCAGCATGGAGCCCCCAACCCCAGTCACAATGTCATCGATAGGCAAGTATCAGGGAGATCTCATTCTCTCTCTCTCTCTCTCTCTCTCTCTCTCTCTCTCTCTCTCTCTCTCTCTCTCTCTCTCTCTCTCTCTCTCTCTCTCTCTCTCTCT